AGGCATATGATATAGACTATAAGTTGGAAGAAGTGCGTTCCACTGTCATTATAGATGGTGCTTCTTTTAACGACGCAAGAACATTAGCAAGACACGTGGTCGGGCTAATGCGTACTGTCAATAACAACGGACGGTACAAAACATGGAAAGAATTAGAGCTAGCAGGACGTGTTCTACGTTCAAACTCTAGCATGGATATGATAGAGTCCTTTACTTGGCTCAAGCAAGGGAAACTATCATCGGTAGCGGTAAGGAATGCTCTAGCAGCTCAAGAAGGATGCTTAATAATGCGCACACATCCTTCACAAGCAAATTCGAACGATAAGAGTTGTAGGGCGTGTGGGTGCCATCTTGAAACAATTGAGCATGTCCTTTCAAGTTGTTCCAAGTGGTTGTCGAACCTATACATTGACCGTCACGACTCAGTTGCTAGAAACATACACTATAGAATATGTCAAAAATACGGCTTTACTCCTGCACACTACTCACAGAAAGTGGAATCGGTTTTAGAGAATGAGAGGATAAAGTTGTATTGGAATCAACCCGTACAAACCAAAACGATCATTCGCCATAACAAACCAGATTTGATAATCTTCGATAAGCCAGGAAAGACAGCCTTGATAATCGAGGTTGCAATATCATGGTTTACTGGTATAGAAAGACAGGTACAAATAAAAACAAATCGTTACTGTGTCAATGGTAATTGGGAAGAAGTTACGAAACTGCCATACCCAGTAGGAGATAATTTACTACGTGAATTACAAACTGCTGGATGGAAAGTTTCCTTCTTACCGGTGGTCCTTGGCACATGTGGCGAAGTGCTTTCGAACCTAAAAGGAGATTTAATGGAAAAAATTGGCTTAACTCAGGTAGCAACTGCCGACTGTCTCGAGAGAATGCAACGTAGTGCGGTTTTGGGAACGAGCAGGATCATTAAAAATCACCTTGCTGTAAGATAGGGAAATGGTGATGTCTAATGACCCGTTGTGCTTGCACATGCGGAATTAATCAATGATTTTTGGGAAAAAACAAGAAAGGTAGTGATTCTAACATCGGGAAAAGTCATTGAAGACCCTTGTTCCAAATATCATCTTAGGAACATTGTAGCTGAGAGTGAGTAACTCCCAGTATCGGTGGGCTAAACCCCAGCGAGTGTCTAAAACGGCCGAGGCGACTCGGAAGTGTCATGTAGAAGTGTTGACGAGAGGTGGTTTTTTAACAACTAGAGTTGTGTGGTAAAGGGAGACTTCTCAGAAGAGTTTTCTCAAACTTAGTTTCCTTGTATTTTTCAAAGATCCTCGCTTCGCGAATTACGTTTCTTTAAAAAATTTTCAACTAAATGATTCGTTTTCATTTTGGTTTCTAAAATGAAATATATTTTCGAGTTCATATTCATCTGTTAAATAAATAACAGTTGACAACGTGATTGTCTTCAACAGTTGAATTCAAAATGAGAATCATATTTTTTTTTTGTTTTTGTGAGAAGAAATTTATTTGTACTGTATTGAAAAACACATATTTCGGATAAAAATGTATGGTACTATTCCAAAAGACCTGCATCTTCGGTGGTTAATTATAAGGTAAAAATATCTTCCTCTTGTTACTCAAATAATCGAGTTTGTTGTTAAATATATTCTAGATCTTTCGGAATTTCGTTTCTAGTACTGCTTCAAAAAACGACCGCATTGACCGACATATTTTTCTGAAACAAATATTAGACTGATGGTTTCAATAGAATCACTTTCGTGTTATAAAGTGTTGCTTCTAGAAAACAAGAAAAATTTTCCCCATGCCACACTCTAAAATCTCGCTTATCGAAAGACGATGGATAACGATTTTTACACGTATCGTAAAAAGTCCTTTGCACGAATCTCATGCGCTTAGAGGTCTAGCACACTCCTGGCCGCTGATGGGCGATTTTCATAGTATATGCCTTTATCAAATAATTTTTGGACAATTACACTTCACCGATTCTGGACTTTTCGCATGCCCCCTGCTTGGAAGTAATTTATAAGTTAAGTACTTAAGTAGTATACACGTCTATCATAAACTTGAATGCTGTTCAAATAGTACTATGTTATCAGTTAATTTCAGTATAATAATATCTTTTCTTCATTGACTGGTTTATCCAAATTCATGTGACCTCTTTTTTAACAACTGCATCGAAGTAATATATAGAGCCAAATCTGTGTCGCCGACGGGTGCAACTGCAGTGCATCGATTGTAATTGACATTCTGACAGAGACTACAACGCAAATGAATGTAGCTGTGCCGTATAACTCGCACTCAACGATTAGCTTCATCAGCTATCAGCCAACTAGAAGTGGCTCCTTCTTATTAATGACCGGTCGCATTCTGGAACTAAAATTTATTTCTAGACGGATGGTATTAAAACAGCAAATCTTTTATTTCTTTAGTGTTTACTTCAATTTTTTATACTGATGTTTTCTTTATTTCCATAGATGTTATATGTTATTTTTTATAATTCTGTGCATATCTTTGGAAATAGTTCAATCTTTCGTTTTTTTTACAACACTTTCTTAAATTCTGCTTTTTAAAATCCCTTTTTTGTTTCATTGAGAACTTTTTGATCATTATTTTTTTCTCATTCTATCAGGCAGCCAAGCTAAAATTGGACACTTTTATGTTGATCATATCTCCCATCTTTTTCAAAACTATAAGTTTATTTGTTTTTTCAGTAGATTGTCCGAGAAATTCTCTACAAAGTTTTACATTGTACTTCCTGAAAAAATTCCCATCGTTTCGCAAAACTCTATACATTCATTTACTCCAATCTTCATCACTTTTCCTTTCAACATTGTAGTGAATTTTTTAACACCACACTTCAGTTCCCTAGTTAATGTCGATTTAAACCGTACTTGATTCTAAGTTTTTTCCTAATTCAAGTCATCCTAGATACAGTAATCCATTGGGCTTAAGTCAGAACTAGTGGCTGGCCGACGTTCTAATGAAATAAAATGTGGCATGTTTTCACAACACCAGTTTTGTGTGTTAGAATTCCTGTGTGTGAGTGTATTGCTTTGTATGAAAAGTTCAATCGTCACCTGACACCGTATTTGCATATTTTCTGACTATAGGAAATAGTTTTTCAATGTACAAATTATGATCCATCGAATCCGTGTCGAATATAACCAGTGATAATAAGTCTTGAGCAGAAAGACCTAACCATATATCATAACTTTCTATTGAGTTTTTTAATTTGTTTTAATGCCACTCTATCCATCTACTTTCGCATGATCTACTGCCAGTAAACGATCATTTTATAAATAGAGCATACCATTGATGTCAAAAATTCTCTCATCCGAAAAAGAATTATTTGAGTTTGATCTTTTGTAAAATTTTTCTTCGCCTATCTCACAAAAGTTTTTCTTTATTGCTTGTGATCGTTGTTGATGCCAGGCTCGATAGCTGCCCCGTATGAATGAATAACATCCTAAATCTTCTTTTAATATTCTCGGAACACTGGTTCTTGATATGTTCAAATCTTTTGCTAATTTCCTTCCGAATATCATTTTTACCTGTTCAAGCGATGTTTGGCTTTCATTATCATTGCCTTCGTTCTAACAGTGTGTTCATGACGTCTCATTTCCTTTACAGTAATTTCACTAGTTGTATTTATCAATTTTATCCAACGACTTATAGTATATTTTCTGAAGCATGCATTTAAACGACGAAAAATTTCACAAACATCTAACCCGTTACTTTTAAGAAAAAGTACCGATTTACGAAGGTCTTGACTCTTTGTCTTCTGAAACATAAATATGCCAGTACGTAAAAGTCTTGGTATAAAGTTTTCTAGAGAATTTCTTGGACCATCTACTGAAAAAAATTAATCTTATAGCTTCGAAAAAGATGGGAGATATGTTCAAAATAAGTGTCCGATTTTATCTGGACCACTCGACATTATTATTATTATCATTATTTCTTTCTTGCATCTTACATTTGTTTAATTTCTTCTGAGTTTTCATTATTATCATTTCCAAGAATTCACAATAAAATTAACGATAAAATGAAAACTTCACCGATATCGTGTCTTTCAACTACTATCACGCAATTAAGCTGTCACTGCGACTGTACTGTAAGTTGTAAACCCGGACAGCTGCAACACAGTGACGCGTAAATCCGAATTGTTCATCGTAATCATGCATAATTGCGATTATTCTATCGGAGCTACGCATAATTACATCCCAGTTTGTCACAATTACGGGCCATAGTGTGAGCACCACTACGTCTCGGTTACGTTCAAATTCGGTCATAATGAATTACATAGGAAGCGTAGAGAACAAATTAGGATAATAACCAATACTATAACTCGAAAGGAAGATACCAAGAACTAAATTCCAAAATTACGCAAAAATCTGGAATTCAAATGCTAGAACTGACTCCAATCCTAAATATCGACATTTAAGAGTTTGGTGTTGTATCATACATACAGATTTCAGAAAAAGAGAACTTTAAACAGTTGTTGTAAAAGAAATCCGTTAATAGTTACTGCTTCGATTTATTGTATATTCATCTCAATATTAGAATATAAAACAACCAAAACATATTATCTTGAAATATCTGCTATATTTTGAAACTAAATCGATAATTTTTATGAAGACATAATCTTCAAAGTGCAAATCAAACAGAGACAATCTCATCTCGATCATTCAATAGAATATGATTTATGATTCATGGCATTTTCGCTCATCCAAAGGCAATACACTGCTGTGGGTCTATGTAAATTTAATTTAGTTTTTCTACTCCATCTTGATAATATGCAGTGGAAGTGCAGATGAGACATTGTAATGTATAGTGTGAAACTACTCGTTTTGTCGTGGTTCTCACTCACTCTCATCTTGTACAGCTATTATCTAGTTCATTTTCGTGTTGTTAAATAACAACTAAGATTAGTATTGAATTTTATATTGCCTTTCCTTGAAACTATTGATCTATCACGGGATATAAACACAGTTGGACAAGACGTCAGAAATATTTCAGAGTAACAATTCGTAGAGAATAAATTGATGAAATGCAATACTAAAAATTATTTTACCTTTCATATTCTTAAGTGAATTTGAATCAAAATTCGATAAATTGACAATACGACTGACAAATTCCTGCAATGTATTGGCTTTGAGAACAAATGGTTCACATAAAGCATAGGCAATAATAAATGAATTTAAAATCATATTATTGCGTTCTTGTAATTGAAACTGTATAGTCAAATTGTCTCGTAGTGCTTGAAATTTCTGTCGACCCTGCGTTGAATACAAATCGAATTCTTTCATTAAGCCAACAATAACACGACATTCATTTGCTGTTTTAATCAGATCCAAATGCTTACTTTTAATATCTTGAAATTCTTGCGTTAATATTCTGTATTCACCAGAGATATTTTTTAAGATACATTCTTTTTTGCTACTCAGTTGTTGTTCGAGATTAGCGATAATCTCATTACCATTTGTATCAGAAATAATAGCAAATGTTTTAATACAATTGATAATAACCTCAATATGACTATAGTATTGAAAGATTTGCAAGCTTTCACAGATTCCTTTGATCTCTTGTTCATTGTATGTGATTCTTGACTGTTGTTCTCCTTTTTTCGATCGATTAATCAACAGTTTTTCGACTTCGTATGGAATATGTATGTTTTCTCCACGAAAAATATTTTCGAGATCAGTCATTTCCGTCAATGTTTTCTTACCATCTAACAGTTGATCAACAAATGGGAATACTGCATTATCCAGTTTATCTGAAAAATTGCGAATTTTAATGAGCTCTCGTTGATCAAGATCGTCAGTGTAAAATAAATTGACTATGCCTTCGAATAGATGACATACGGGCAAATCAGTTTGCTTAATCTGATACCATATTGAAAGTGGATTGTGTTTTTGATTAGTTATCTCAATGATGAATTGGCCTGGATGTAATGTTTCGAATTCACCCTGCAAGACAAATTTATCAATGGGAACATCTGTTTTAGGAAACAATAAAACACCGCTATCTGATGATTCCATCCGTTGAAATCTGATCTTCACATTGCATGACCATTTCTCACTTGCAAGAGACCAATGAACATGTTGATGGCTATTGATCGGATATGTTTGTGCAATAATCTCATTGCTGTCGACCACAAATGAATTATTGTAATGAAAACATTTCAGCTCTTGAATATATTTGTTTGAATTCTGCCCACCATCTACGGTACCACTTATAATTACTTGAAATGGCTTTGAACAATTTAGTATACGACAAAGACGTTCCAAAGTTTCAATCGACTGCAGGACTTTCATTGTTTTTTCTGCTATCTTTTTCATTTCTATCACTGTTGTTGTACGCCTATCTCTGCTGCTATTTATGGCGAAGCCTAACTCTGCAGCTCCATCAACATGATATTTTCGTAACCACTCAATAATGTTGTGAAAAATATCAAAGAATCGTTCAAACCATGAAATCCAACTGTTCACTAGCGCGATGAAGTCACCAAAAGATCGTTCGTTAGCTTCAATTATTGTAATATTGAAATCGTTTGGTGTTTCGATGGACATAATCGAGGAAATGTTTGACGGTATTTCCAAAAACTTGTATGAAAAATGATCCGCTTGCGATAGAATTTCTGGCAAGTTAATAAGATCAAGCAAGCAAGGTGCAATCCATAATCTCTGATAAGTCGAGGGTGAAGCTATAAAAATAGAATTAGATCAGTACTGGCAAGCACACTCAAGAAACGTTTTTTACATTCTGTATTACATACCAGGGAAGCTATAACAAATATTGTAGAGAGAATGAGATAACTTTTATTTCCAGTTTTTGTTCCTCATCTGTGACGCACATCTAAGTCGAGTTTTTCGGGGAAGATTGTTCATACTTTTCTCTGTAAATTGGTGTACATGTGATGACTGAAAATTCGAATGCTACTCAAGTTTCAATTGACGCAACCTCGAAAATCAAAAAACGGTCTTGTCTACAGCACTTTGTTGCGAATACGAGACAATGCTTTGGATAAAATCATCGAGCGCAATGAGTTCAAAGCAGAAGCAGACAAGAAAAAACTAAAAATGCTATTATTAACAAGAACATGTTTGCTAACGGTTCATTCTTGATTGAGATTCCTCCAGATCGACTGCGAGTTTAGGAAAATATCTCACCATAATCATTACTTGCAACGTATTCTGGGTGTCGTTAAGCATGCAGAAGACTTCATTCACATTGTGCTGCATCAACCTACAGCAAGGTCACCGAGCAGCTATTTAAGACCACTCAGGCACTCAGAATGCGTGATAAATTCATCTGTACCAAATGCTTACGTCACAAAAATGGTTTAGTCAATTTTTGTGACCTGCTGTTTTTATCAAAGTTTCTTTCGAGATTTATACCAGATCTACAGCACATACCGACGCTGCCATTTTCATAGAGCTATTTTCTCAATAATAGATCGCTTTCAAAGGTATACTCACTAATGATCGTTCTTACAGTTCTCATTGTTATCCAAGACATTAAATGTGAGGTTACTTCGAAATCTATTCTTTCTATTTGTAAGTAGGAATCCGTCTGAAATTCAGAATGGAGTGTCTTCACTTGCCTGTCAGTAAAAGGATATTTCTTATCCATTGTTGTGTCTTTTGAATGAATTCATCCACTTGTTTCGTGTTTATTAGACGCGATTCATGGTATGTAGCGCTCAAAACAAACTTCAATATAGTCTCGATATTTGGTGATAATAATATTAAATAGATGTGTTTCATAATAATAGTTTCAAATACACAGTTGACAAAGACCATTGTTAAAGTATCATTTGGTCTGTAGGTGTCATGTTCCACTCGTTTCATCCAGTTGGCTATTTTGAGAAGTATATCAGCTGAGTCTTTTATAATTGATTTCAAGATACTGAAATGTATAATTCTTGACCAAGCATGAATTTTCCAAGGATGATTGTTATGTGCATAACATAAATCTTGATAGCTTTTACGATCGAAATAAGAACACAACTCCAAGATCGGTAGCGCATAGACTTTTAGCCATTCATCTTTAATGATCACTTTTGGATCATTGTCTTTGCAAATATCATCGTTGAAATAGTCTATTCTTAGAAACGAAAGTAGAATTTTCTCGGAAACTGATCCAACGTGACCGAAATTAAATAACAAGCGGTCAATAATGATTAAACAAGTTGGTTGTCGAGAATTAAGTGTTGGCAATAATTTAAGACCAAGATTGTATAGACTTAACCATTTCTCGTCTTCTATTTTATAAGGATCATGTCCGTCCTGAAATTGCTCGGAAACAAAAGCAGTGAATACGGTTTCCAAAATCTTCGTGAGATATGAAAACTTTTCATCAGTAAGTGTTGTTCGAGTGTCGATAGCTGACTGTATTCTTTTAGTGAATTCTTCTACGGGTAAGGTCTCATTTTGTTTCGTCAGTGCTGAACTCATTTGTAGTAAGATCGTTTCATTGAAGTCCATAGTTTCGATCAAATTCAAATAAATTTTCCAAAATGAGTTGTAACTTATATTTGAAGCACAACTCGATAAATAGTTTCCGAAAAGTTGTTCCCATTGACTCACAAGTCGAAGTAAATCACCGATGTGCTCTCGCGGGCACTTTTTATTTCTTTTTATCTCACCTGGTAAATGCGACAGATATTCATCGAAGAATGTTTTTACATCAAGATTTAACTTCTGGAGAAAATAAACGTAACCAGAAAATGCAGGATTTGTTGAGTTCTCCCAAGGAAGAGATTTTTCCATGAGACCAATAAAGGTTGGAATATCGAATGGAACAACTGTGAACGTTTGTTTGTAATCGATAAATGCTGAAACTACTGATCCCAATGGTAAATTAATCGATTGTACATGTGAGAACATGTTCAACCAAGAACAATTGGGATGATCATTACAAATCAGTGATGATTGCAACGATAACTTGCACAGAGCGAGAAATGCGATTAGTTCCTCATCGTATGGAATAGTTTCGATTATCCTTAAATGTTCATGAATATTGATTCTTTTAAGAACCTCTCTATCTGTTATGAGCACATTTGGTTTTTCACCTATTGTTTTTCGAAAGACATATGCCAACTCGTCATAGAGAATATTTCTGAATATTATCAATTCTTCATAACGTTCCCTTCTTTCATACTGGTTCTCTATGTAGTTAATATATTCCACGATTCGACGATAAATATAGAAGTATGCGTCGGTACGATTTGCAAATTTATCCGAGCCGTCTTCCAAATCAAGACTTTTCATCGCACAATCCATAATATACCCAACATCGTTCATAAAGAATCTGTTACAAGAGGACTGATTCGATTTATCGAATGAATGAAACAAATTAGAAACTGAATTGAAAAATTCGATTCCATCATCAGTGGTCTCAAAGACTTGTCCTATCGGCCTAACCGATGGCGACGTTTCCTTCGTACCAGTGAATTTCATCCAACCTCTTTTGATCAAAGAAGATATGCGTTTCATCAAGAGTATTGATACACTCTTAAATAAAAATCTGAAACAGAATATAGGTCGCAAAATAGGAAATATTATCCAATATACGCTGGTTTTCATTCATTCCCATAAAACATATTTCTTGTTAATCAACAGGGCCAAAAACAGTACGGCAATGAAGCAACCGAGGGTGTGGGTCTGGGTCTGGGTGTGTGGGTGGGTGTGGGTGTGGGGTGTGGGGTGTGGGTGTGTGGGTGTGGGTGTGGGTCTGGGTGTGGATGTGGGTGGGGGTGGGAGTATTGATTTCCTCTTAATGGCACCGATACTTACATCCCACACACCCGTCCACTCACTCCATACCCACAGCCCATCTACACTCACTCCATACTCATAGCCCATCCACACCGCACACCCACACCGCACAGCCACATCCACACCCCCACACCCACCCCCACACTCTCACACCTACACCCACACTCCCATACTCACACATCCACACCCCTAGTAAAAATCGACGCTGATAGTGTGTCTAAAGCATTGCAGAGCTCTATATTTTTCAAACTCCAATAGTGCTAATCACTAACGAATGTTGTAAAAAATTCATCAGAATGCATGAAATCATGCATTCTTTGTCCATGTTCAAGAAGTTTTGTTCTAAAAACCAAGACATATTAGAAGACGAACTGCATATTTGGAATCAGCAACCTCAACGTAGTTGACCTATGGATGTTTGAAAATTTTTCGGTCAAGCTATTTTTTTACCGGAAAATTCACCTGTGGTCCTCCATATGGATCTTTTTCAAAAATATTTTAAATAAAATACCTTCAACGGTTCAGTCTAGGGGTCGACCAGCTGAGTTCACGAACTCCGTTCAAATGAGCTAAAGAACTACTCGAACAGTTCTTTTCAGCGAACTGAACTTTTCGAACAGTTCATTCCAAACGAACTGAGCCGTTCGAACAGTTCTTTTGAACGAACCGAACTATTCTAACAGCTCCTCTCCAATGAACCGAACCTACCCTTAGAATAGATACTAACATATGAGCCTACCCATAGGTCCTCAGGGCCTATCCTATAGGGGTACCCATAAGTCCTCAGGGCCTGTCCTATAGGGGTACCCATAAGTCCTCAATGGGAGTAGACTAGCTCAAGCTCACGAACCGATTCATATGAGCGGAAGAGCTGCTCGAGCAGCTAATTTCTAGTGAGCTGCACCATTTGAACAGCTCAATTGAGCGAACTGAGCTTTCAGAACAGTTCAACTCAAATGAACTGAACTTCAGGCACAGATATATACTGTCCTATAGAGATATCCTTACGTTCTCAAGTCCTACTATTGGGGGAGGGGAGGGGGGGGGGTACCCTTAGGTCCTCAAGTCCTACTATTGGGGATATCCTTGAGTTCTAAAGTCTTACTATTG